ATATATATATATTGAGATATGTACTACCATTCACAAGTTTGTGGTGGGTAAGATTTTTAAAAGTTTTTAAAAGATGTCTCTTATGCTCATCAAGGCTAAATTTTCTATTTGAATTTTTTTTTCTTTGATGAATTTCTTTGAAATTTTTGGTAAATACATATTTACTTTTACTTTTGATCAATTTAATACATTACTAAATAAAAGTAATTAATTTCTTAAAAAAAAAACTGCTGATCCCAAAACTTTGAATGGTAGGGTATTTTTAAGCATTTTCAAGCAATACATAATTGAGATATATCTTCAAAAATATTGTCAAATGACTGAAAATACTATTTTTATAAATATTTGGTGTTCAGTAATATATCGACCTGACCTTGTTTTCGTTTTGCTTCACATGCTATGATTTCTCAACAGTTAAGAATGTTTTTAAGTATGTTAATGGAGCGTCTGGTTCGATGGCTTCAAATTAACATGTTCCCTTGTCACTGTTCAGATGTGCTGCAGAAAGACGGATATATGTGCTGGTCCAGAATTGATCAAGCTTAATGGAAAAGCTAATCAGTAGCTTCCTCTTTCCTGTCAGGAAGCTTGAATCATGGAGCCTTTTGATGAATGTCCTTCTCTCGGCAGCTCTGGTGTCCATCACTTTCAAAGTGCATTAAGTTCAACCTCATGAACTGCTCCCATCCCTCCCCAATGCCTCCATGTCTTTCTAAACATATATGACTTTCCTATATGACAGTACTATTCTGTGGAAACAGATAGATTTTAAAAAAGTACTCGCCATGCTTTTTCATTCAAATATAATGTATCTTCAAAATGAAACTTCAAAAATTATGCAGAAGCACCATAAAACTTTTGATTGTGGCAGTTCTCTAGTTAATTGCTCACAGGAGGGGAACATTTTCAGTGAATAATGACTGTGAATAATCTGTTCCATTTAAAGATTTTTAAAAGTTTTTAAAAGATGTCTCTTATGCTCATCAAGGCTAAATTTTCTATTTGAATTTTTTTTTCTTTGATGAATTTCTTTGAAATTTTTGGTAAATACATATTTACTTTTACTTTTGATCAATTTAATACATTACTAAATAAAAGTAATTAATTTCTTTAAAAAAAAAACTGCTGATCCCAAAACTTTGAATGGTAGGGTATTTTTAAGCATTTTCAAGCAATACATAATTGAGATATATCTTCAAAAATATTGTCAAATGACTGAAAATACTATTTTTATAAATATTTGGTGTTCAGTAATATATCGACCTGACCTTGTTTTCGTTTTGCTTCACATGCTATGATTTCTCAACAGTTAAGAATGTTTTTAAGTATGTTAATGGAGCGTCTGGTTCGATGGCTTCAAATTAACATGTTCCCTTGTCACTGTTCAGATGTGCTGCAGAAAGACGGATATATGTGCTGGTCCAGAATTGATCAAGCTTAATGGAAAAGCTAATCAGTAGCTTCCTCTTTCCTGTCAGGAAGCTTGAATCATGGAGCCTTTTGATGAATGTCCTTCTCTCGGCAGCTCTGGTGTCCATCACTTTCAAAGTGCATTAAGTTCAACCTCATGAACTGCTCCCATCCCTCCCCAATGCCTCCATGTCTTTCTAAACATATATGACTTTCCTATATGACAGTACTATTCTGTGGAAACAGATAGATTTTAAAAAAGTACTCGCCATGCTTTTTCATTCAAATATAATGTATCTTCAAAATGAAACTTCAAAAATTATGCAGAAGCACCATAAAACTTTTGATTGTGGCAGTTCTCTAGTTAATTGCTCACAGGAGGGGAACATTTTCAGTGAATAATGACTGTGAATAATCTGTTCCATTTATAGCTATTGTTTTGTATTATTGACTTTAAAGTGCACAAGTCAAACGGACCACTTTTATGATAGTTTATAGTGTTTTTGTGCCAATTTTGAAGATTGAAAGATGTTGTAATCATATTAAATGCAAATGTTTGGTCAGTACATTCTTTCAAATTTATTTTTGTGTTCCACAAAGTCATACGCATTTGAAATGACATGAGGTTGATGGCAGAATTTTTATGCTTTTAGTTGAACTACCCTTTAAGCTCATGCACAAGACCAGAGGATAATCAAAGCTGTGATTGTAGCTTTTGAGCTAAGGCATCTGGTGTGTGTCTACCTTCTTGGAAGAAGGTTTTTAGTAAAGAATGTGTTACGCAGAAAGACTTAAAGTGTGCAACAGATCCTCAAACTGCCTCCTGTGTCCTGAGCCAGATGGTGTTGTATAGTCTGCTATGTAATGTCTATTTGAGCATGAGCACCTAAAGCATGTGCTCAGCAAATGGAGCGTCTGGTTAAAGCTGTCACTGCCGCGAGGAGTTTGATGTTGTGATCCTATGTAATCATACCTCAGTACTATTATTTTTATGTCAAACTACACTTTAAAGTAAAAAAGGGCCTTTCTACCTGATCTGGCCCATAAAAAAATACTTTTGTTTGGATAACCTAGTGCAGTCAGATTGATTCACTCATAGAATAATAAACAGAAATAAAAATATTGAATAATATTTTTGGCTTAAATAAGTAAGGAATAATGTGCTGTCAGCTGGTCATTATTACAAAATAAACCCTGACAGGATGATCGCTGTATATTATTTTTTTTATTGTATGGCTACTTATGAATTAATGGACATAAAATATTGATTTGAGTTGCAAATACTGTGCTGTGTAACAAAAACAGTTCATTTTTTGGAATGGTCAGCCTTAAGGTAGATTTTATCATTGCCACGCAACTATTGGAATCATCTATTTTCCATTTTGTCATAGTATACATGTACTGTTAGACAAATTTTAGGTTTTAGAAATTGATATTATATTAATGCTTGTTTAATTTCAAACATTAAAAAATAAACTTTTTTTAAATTAGTTTTACTTTCCACATTTTAATTTTAGAATATTAATAAAATATTAATAATAAGTGTAATTTTGTAAATAAGTGAATACACTATAGTTCAAAAGTTTTGGGTCATAAAGTATTTATTGATTTAGGTTAAAGTAATTTTAAATTATTTAGCATGTTGCATTAAAATACATACATTTACAATGTTACAAAATATTTCTATTTCAAATAAATGCTGTTCTTTTAGACTTTCTATTCATGAAACAAATTTGTGGAACCAGTTTTAACATTGATAATAATAATAAGAAATTTTCCTTTATCACCAAATCAGCATATTAGAATGACTTCTGAAGGATCATGTGACATTGAGTAATGTCTGCTGGAAAGTCAAAAATTTTAAATCATAGTAATATTTAACAATAGTACTATTTTATTGTATTTTATTTTGAATAAATGCAGTCTTGGTGAGCATAAGAAATGTCTTTCAAAAGAAAAAAAAATTACCAACCCCA